CAGCCCTTAGTCCTCTCCACATTGTCCTTCCCCTTTTTAATCGCCACCTGAAGGAGGGGGCGAAAAGGCCCTGCATGTCTGATGGGGGATTCCAACTGCATCCAAATAAGGAGAAAGCCCAATCCCACAATGACCTCGCGAAGTGGCACGACACCATTAGGTGAAAACCAGTCTCCCCATTTGCTTTACATAGAACACCCTCCCGCCCCCTTTTCGATGCAGCCCATTTTGTTTTTTTTTTTATGTTGGGGGATCTTGCTCCGCTTCGGTTCGCTCTCTCGCCTTCACTTCGACAAGACCCCCCTTTGAACTACTGTTATGCATCTTTATTCTTCTTAATATAAAAGATTTTTATTAAAAAATAAAGAGATCCCCCTTCCTCTTCATCCTCCTCCTAATCCCCCTCCTCTTAAGAAGGCTTACGCTTCCTTGTGTTCGGGAGGCTTACGCCTCTTGCGTTCTGAATTACGCCTCACGCCTCTAGGTAGTGGAATGCCTCGCGTCACGCCTCCACGTTTTAAAACATTGACCTAAAGTTGTTATTGGATAGCTTTGTGGAGGTGACAAGTCTAAGGATAAATTGGACAAAAACTGGCATTGTAGGGGTTAATATGGAGGAAGGGGAATTCCATAGATTCACAAAGATTTTGGGGTGTGAGATTAGAAGTTGGCCATTTAGTTACTTGGGTTTACCTTTAGGAGGAAACCCTAGATCACAAGGGTTTTGAAAGCCAGTCATTGAAAGATTTGCTAGGAAGCTAGCTCTGTGGAAGAGGAATTATATCTCTCTAGGTGGAAGGATAACCTTGATTAGAGCCACTTTGGCAAACCTCCTTATTTACTTCCTTTCAACCATTAGAATACCCTGTAGAGTAGCAATGAGCTTAGAGAAATACATGAGAGATTTCCTCTAGGACCCAGGAGAGGAGAGGAAGGTTCACTTGATTAATTGGGATCAAGTTAGAAAGCCCAAGGATCAATGGGGTTTGGGAATTGGAAACCTTTCACTCAGGAACTCAACTCTGTTAAGAAAGTGGCCGTGGAGATTCCCTTTTGAGAGCGACAGACTGTGGCACAAAGTCATTGAGAGTATTCATGGTTTTGATGGAAATGGTTGGGATGCAAAAGTTGCCCCTCATGTTTCTTCAACTTCTCCTTGGAAAGCAATTTATGAAATCTACCCTACCTTCCTTAATTCCATTCGACTTGATGCGGGACAAGGCAATAAAGTTGATTTTTGGGAAGACCTTTGGGTGGGAGAAAGCCCACTTAAAGATCTTTTTCCCAACCTCTATACTTCGCCAAATTTTAAAGGGGAAATTGTAAGTAATTTGGGAACTCTTGGTTCAAATGGGGTCAATTGGAATCTGGGTTTCAGAAGGGGCCTTAGGGAAAATGAATGTGACTCTTTAGTTAAGTTGCTAGATCTAATAGGACAAGTTCACTTGGACCCATCCTTGGAAGATTCTAGAATTTGGAAAGGCTCTTCATATGGCCTCTTCTCACGTTCTTCCTTTTTTTAGTGTTCTTGCTTCACCTAGCATCCTAATTGGGGATTTCCCTGTGAAAGAAATTTGGAGTTAGCCTATTCCCCCAAAAATTCAAGTTTTTTGTTGGGAAATTTTCCTTGGCAAGGTAAATACTTGTGATATGCTGCAGAGAAGAAGGCCTTTTGCTTGCCTTTCTCTTCACATGTGCTCCTTTTGTAAGGAAAGTGGTGGGAATTTTTTTCTACTCTTTTTGGTTGCAGGTGGGTTTCCCCTCAAGATGTGGCAGGACTTTTCATCTGAGACTTCTTGAATCAACCAAAGAAAAGAGGGAAGGTTATGTGGAAAGCTACGAAGGCAGCTATTTGTTGGGTGATTTGGGAAGAAAGGAATAACAGAATATTCTTGGAGAAGAGTAGAACAAGGGAGGAGGTGATTGACACCATTAAAGTTAAAGTATCTCATTGGGTAAAATCTTTGCATATCTTTCAAGACTTTTCAGTCACAGACATTCTAAGATCTTGGACAGAGGTAGCACAATCCTCAAGAGTGAAAGAGAACGTAAGGATGGAATTGAAACCTCCAGATGACAGCATGATTAAATTAAATTTTGATGGAAGCTCTCATGGAAATCCGGGACTGTTAGGTATCGAAGGAGTAATCAGAAATTTTAAAAGGAGAATATTAGCTTTGTTCTCTGGACTGATTGGCATTGGCAACTCTCTAAAAGCTGAGTTAATGGCATTGCTACAAGGGCTGAAGATAGCTAAGCAGCTAGGACTGAGGCATATTGAGGTTGAAGGGGATTCCAAGGTGATCATCTCTTGGGCTAAAAACAATAGAAGTACTCCGTGGACTTTCAGACAAGTGATAATGGAAGTGGAAAAGGTTGCAAAGGAGATAGAGGCTGGATTCAAATGGGTTAGAAGGAGTGCAAATGGGCTAGTTGATTATCTTGCCAAACAAGGGGCTTTGAGGCAACAATTGTTTTGGGCTGCAATCAGTGATTTAATAGGCGCGCCTAGGTGCACAGGAAAGGCGCATTTTAGGGTAGGCACCTCGCCTAGGTCCTAGGTGCAGCCCATTCAAAAGGCGTACACCTGGTGTGCCTAGGCGTGTGCCTTTTGAAAATTTGACGCTTTTTCTTTTTTTAAGAGCCGTGAGCGAAACCGGAGCTTCGAGAACCCCCAATTTGGTAATGCTGTCCATTCATTCATCCTAATAAAATATCTTCTTAAAAGCAATTAAAACTATAAAATCATTAATTTTTGTGTGAAAACTCGGAATTTGAGACCCTAATATGGACTTGTTTGGGTGTGCCACAAAGGTGGCTCGTAGAATTAGGAATGTAATATGTCACATTAGCTACTTGATTTAATTGAGAAAAAAGAGATTGTGGGTTTTATATGCTTGAAAATGTTTTATATGTTTGATTTCATTTTTAAATTCTCATTTGAATATGCTTTACATATTATGTTTATGTATTTTAATTTTAGATAATAGGTTTTTTAAAACATTTATTTTAAAATTTAAGTTTATATTTTTATTAATATTATGTTTTATAATTTTTTTTGATTTTTTTGGCATTTTTTTTTTGAATTTTTAGCTTCTTTTTTTTTTTTTTAAATTGTGCCTTGCCTCAAAAAGGCGTGCACCTCGCCTTGCGCCTTTCGCTATTAAAACACTGGCTGTAATGTAAAGTGGGACAGAAATATGTACTAGTGTGGGAGCATTAATCCCATACACAAAGCTATAAAACTTTAATCTAACCCTAAATTCAAATAAAGTTCTCTTTTGCTGATAAAAAAAAAAAACTAAAGGTTTTCATTGACCTGGCCATTAAATGTAGTGAACCAATATATACCGAGAGAATGAACAATTGATGGAAATATTTTAGAAAGTGGACTTGTGTTCCCAATTAGATCTACTGAAATAAGGGGCTGCTAAATTCTGTGTTTGGAAGCCGTTCTCAAAAAAAAAAATGATGAAAAATATCCTTGATGGTGTTACCAATGTATTAAAAAAAATTCACATCTATACCTTTAGTATGCTTTCAAGCTTTGCCTGACAACTTCCAAACCATCAAGCCATTGAAGGATCCAAATCATGGATATATCCTAACTGCCAATCAGTCTCTCTTTTTACAGGGTCTAAAGTTTTTAAGAAAGAGTCTTTATCTGAGGTTAGAAGAGATTGCTCGTGTAGGTTGTCTGGGTGTTTGGAGTGATCTAAATATCAAAAATGGTTTTAGTCATCTGAATTTACTTCTTGACAAGAACTGGACTTTTCATTACTGTACAAGTGTCTCTTACAAAATTGGCAATTTTTGCAATAAACTATGTGCTATAAAAACAAAAAGAAGACATACAAATGTAAAAAAAATACTGAGTTCTTATTTCCTGAAGACACATCTTATGTTTAAAAACTTTAAATAGGAAAAAAATTGTACTTTCCTACCAAAAGGTGTTGTACATTACATTTTAATACATTGTTGCATTTCACAAAGTATACATACTCGCAGTTTGATGATCCGATTCAATTGAAATATTTGTTTGCTGCTTATCTTTCACAGGTCTGCAAGGTTGCTCCTATTCCAGGGGAGACCAAGGTTTGGCAGTACATAACACTTACAAAACGGATCTTCTTGATTGACTGCCCTGGAGTTGTTTACCAAAACAGTGACTCTGAAACTGATATTGTGCTTAAGGGTGTGGTATGTTCTTTATTTATTCTTTTTGTGTACCAATTCATGATGAGTCTCTATCTATTTATATATTTGCATACCTGAAATACTTGTTACTGCTAGTTGAAAGCATTTTTGAAACATGGGTTGAATCTATCATATTCTGTTGGTTACTTTTTGACGACCTTACTTGAACAAGATGTTATCTGCTTTTATCTGATTTTAGCATCCATGCATATGGGGAATATACTAGTGCTTAAGAATTTGCACCAGTTGTCTCCCTCTTGTCAAGCCTCACCATTAAAAACTGTTTTTTTGGTCAGAAACTCAAAGAATTTTATTAGAACTTAAAATGAGGAGAGTACAACAACAAGTTGTTGGAAATAGGGGTGTCAATGGATCGGTTTTGGATTGGGCCCCGTCCAAACCAAAATCAATTTGGACGGATTGGACGGATCAACAAGACATATTGAATTGGACCAGTCCAGACTTAATGGTCCAAAGTATTTATTGGATTGGATTGGACTGGGTCCATCCATAATGAATTTATATTGGATTGGATTGGATCTGGTCCATTTGTAATGGACTCACATTGGACTGGATTGGATTGGACCAAATCCAGTCCAATTGACACCCCTAGTTGGAAATAACATCCATTACAACGAAGAGTCCAGCCACCCCATTAACATTGAGCCCAAAACAAGTGATGTCTATTCACTTCTTGTTTAGCTAGTCAATCCACGAAACCATTAACAGACCTCCTAATCCATCTTAACTGAATTTGCATTTGTCCTGACAGCATCTTGAACCACCTGAATTCATTGCTGAAGTGCCATAATATCCCTTCTCCTTTTTTCATTAACCCAATGGCTATTTTTGAGTCCCGTTCTCTTATGAGCCTTGTGATTCCCATTTCCTTAGCTTTTTGCACCCCAATAATAGCTGCATCACTCCAATTCCAGAGGGACCTGAATTTCCAAAACTAAATTCCATCAAAGTTAAGTTTCATTCATCCCCCACTTGGGGGAGACCAAACCTCCAGGACCTCTTGATCCCTAGAGTAAGAAAGGATAATCAATCCCCACCTCAACTTCCTTTTTTTCTCTTTTTTTTTTTTTTTTTCATTTTAATGGGGATAGCCCATCCCCACTACCTATAACCCCTCCAATCCTGGTGACAGTTGAATTTGCTCCCAAGTATCTCCTACAACCAGCCAGAGACCTTACCAACAGGGCCAGTTGGCACCATCAAAATTCAATCTCCTGCTTCTTAGAAGGTTGCATCCTTGATTACTTCTGACTGATTACAAAATCATTTAGTTGATTATTGACTTTGATGGACTAAAGTTATAAAAGCAAAGGCTCAACTTCCAAGTTGAGGACTTTTTTGGACTCAAGATATGTTCTGGGAATTATTTGTATACCACCCAATATGATACTGGATACTGCATGGGCACTTTGGCAGACCACCTTGGATTAGGTGGTTGTGGCACGTATCCTATGCAGCAGTAGGGCAGGCTGGGTGGGGTCAGGCTGTGGTCAACCCAAACCCCCCAACCCAAGGCAAGGGTACCTCAGCCCTAACCTAATGAATCCAATACTAACCTCGGTAACCTGATTTTCATAATTGGGTTGGGTGTGTCAGGTCCCTTTTTTTGCACAGAGTGGCTTCCCATTGATTCAAACCTGCAGTCTCACAGTTGTCAGCTCATGGTTTTACTTTTACCACTGCACCAAGTTATGGCTTCTATATATAATAATCATCATCATATAAGTCTTCTCCCAACTATACAGATTATTGAATCAACTACATGGATTCTGTTCTGCTATTCTTGCTACTTCAACTTGTGTCTTTTTGGTCTTCCCCTAGCTCTTCTAGTTCTAGCCCCTTCAACTTGTAACAGTTTTCTTCTTATTGGTTTTGTAAACAGTATTCTCTGCACATGACCAAACCATCTTAGTTTATTTTTTTCTCATTTTATTACCTATTGGAGCTACTCATAGGTTCCTTAAAATAAGCTCATTTCTGATCCTCTCCTTTCTAGTTTTCCCACTCGTCCATCCCAATATTTGCATTTCTGCCACACTCATTTCTTGAACATGTTTCTTGACTGCCCAACACTTTTGCTCCAATACAACATTGCTGGCCTTGCAATCATTTTATAAACTTTCCCTTTCAGTTTTTTTTATTGCTAAAAACACCCAAATGGCCAAGCCCGTTTTGGTAGGGAGTGATTTTATTAAGAGGCATATCTGTTTAAACACGCATAGAGGTTGCAGTCCTTATTTTCTCCTTTTTTAAGTATAATGGATCTTTTTTCCTGCAACCTATAAGATTGAGTGTGGATTTGGATACTGCTTCTGATTACTGTTGTTTTCTTCCACAAGTATTTATATGCTTTATTGATATTACTACCTTAAACTTATCTCACTTGTCAAGGTTTACAATCAAATAAGGACCTAAAACTAGTGTTGTTAGGCTCGTGTGTGTGTGTGTGTGTGTATCCTAAATGAAAATCAAGGCTCATCATGGTTTCTAGAAATATGAGGTGATCCCCCCCCCCCTGCGGGTTCTTGGAAGTTTAGCCAAATTATTGTTCATTTAGTTGTTGATTGGAAAAAATGCCTCAATTCCCAAGTGGTCCAAGTCCAGTCTTTTGCCCACATTTGAAATAGATGGGCCCTACCGCCCTAGTAGAATATTATTAATACCCATAAATGGGTTATATAATACGTTCAAGATCAAGTAGCACCTGATTAAGTGGGCATAATCTGAAAAAGGAATAGAACAACACTCCACAGTCTAAGGCTATCAATGTAAGAAATCTGCTCAATGAAAAATGGTCCAGAGAGTTTAGGCAATCTGAAGACTTCTTGTCATCTGGATATCTACAACACTTGTAAAACTGTATTTACAATCTCTATAGGACCCTTTCAAAAGAGAAATGACTCAATTTTCTTCTTAATGGATTGAATCTACTATAAACTTTGAGAACCAAAAACCATATTCACTGAAAAAGGCCAGTTACATCCATGGGCAGAAAGAATATAAATTATAAAGTGTAGTAGTTGTATTTATTTTCCATAATCCATTTTCATGATCATCTTTGGGCCTGGTGATCAGGTACGTGTAACCAACTTGCATGATGCTGCTGAACATATAGGAGAAGTTTTGAAACGTGTGAAGAAGGAACACTTGGAAAGAGCATATAAAATAAAAGACTGGTATATGCCATCTTCCTGGTTTCAGTTGATTTTTACTATTTCCATGGATAAAATTGCTTCTTTATTGTGGCCTTTGCTTTCTCAATTTCAAATCCTCTTTGCCATCTCTAATGGTGTTTTGCAATATTATTAGGAATTAGTGATTTGTGAACTAAATATAGACTTGTTTGATTTCTAAAATACTCGTTAAACAGACTGTACATGCATTGAGCATTAATTCTATGTTGTAGCTTTTCTTGCAATGTGTTGTTGGTAGATTGTAGAGTTTGGGCCCATTCAAAATTTAACAAATATTGATCCCAACCCAATCCAAGTTGCACCACTAGCTGTATTTGTATATTTTATATATTTTATGGTTTGATCTTCTAACTTCATGTTTGTGTTCTTAATTTCTTCCATTGAAATTACTCAATATCAAAACAATTAATGTGAATTATTTTCTCATCTTGTCCAAGTCCATTGTTTTGACTGATTAGTCCTATCAAATTTTAACCACAAACAGAGAGAGGACTTTTATCTATTTTAAGATTCAAGAGATTAGTCTAGATTAAAATCGGCAGAACAGGATTCAAGAGATTAGTTTAAATTAAAATTGGTAGAACAGGATTCATGTAGCCAACAGACCGCATATAGTTGTGACAAGGCTTAATTGAATTTGAGAGTTCTGGCAAGCTCTGGTTTCTGATATTTGCATTTATTCTTGACAATGAGATTTAAAAAAATTGTTTTACTACCTAAATTATGCTCTGGTTTTCTTTTGTCAGGGTTGATGAGAATGACTTTCTTGTTCAGTTATGCAAATTGACGGGCAAGCTTTTGAGGGTATATTTCTAGTTTGCGTTGCTTATTTTTATGGGTGTTGATCATTATGAATTTTGTTAGGAACATGATAAAAAGGGTTCATTCCTGCTGGTTCACCTCCATTGTACAAGTACATATGCATGTAAATGGGTGAGCACCTCTTTGTAGGACTCTGTATTTATATAGGAGATTCAATGCCTACAAATGGTCAGGTTGGATAATTCTAACCTCCACCGCAACTTGTAAGTCAACTAGCCTGATACCAAACATTTAGGATTCAAGTACCAAATTCCTTTCTATTGGGCCTTATTTTGCATCTCTGTCAATCCAAATTAGGTAGGGATTTGACATGTAAATAAAATCAAGTTGTATAGTAATGGTAAAATCTTGGGGCTGCCATGCTTGAGAGCACAGGTTTGAGTCTAAGGGGAAAAGGCAAAGGTTAGGACTGTACCCAGTCTACCCCTCTTCCCAAGACCCCAGATGGCTGGAACCAACATTGGGTAATAGGGTTTTTGTAAATTCGTCCTTTATCCTTTTTCTTTTGGCTGAGATGGCTGATGTTGACTGTTTCCACTGGTGTTTTGAATGGGGTTTGTTTAGGGTGGTGAGCCTGACTTGATGACTGCAGCAAAAATGGTGCTCCATGACTGGCAGAGAGGTCGTATACCCTTCTTTGTTCCCCCACCCAATCAAGAAGAGGGTCCATCAGAAGAAGAACCCGCGATTTCTGGTGTAAATGCAGATGAATTGGTTAATAACGATAAGGCGTCAGCAGCTATTAGAGCCATTGCAAATGTTATTTCATCCCAGCAGCTAAAAGCAGTCCCTGTCCGAAGAGACCTCTTCAGCGAAACCGAGTTAAAGGACGAGACAGTGGAGGACCGTCCAGCCACCGAGGAAGATGAAAATGCATTTGATGAGAAATCAGAGGAACTTTCAGCCTTAGAGTCGGATGAATTTGATGAGAAATTGGAGAATCCGGTCACAGAGTGATAAGCATTTATTAATTGAATACTTAAAAGAATTTAGAGAAACGTTGTCAAAGTTAAACAGGAAGCTTGTTCCCTTTTCTTTTCAAAAAGTATACAGAAAATTAGCATTGTAATATTATTTTATTTTCCCTGGGGGACAGGGTCCAATTTTGTTTATTTCCAGATTAAAACATTTATGGTGTTTGAGGACATTGTTTTCTCCCTTGATTCTGTGCAATGAAGACAATCTTTTTTGCTTTTTTCTAGCGGAAAGTGGTGCAATGAAACTGATCAAACTTGAATCTTGGTGGTAGCTGACTTGGCATCCATAATGTCAGAAACACTAGCAACCTCACCATTTTGTATGGTAGGTTTAGATCAAGTGGCTTTTTGCTACCGGCCGAAGGAATCATCTGTCAAATAATGCAAATTGATATGGTACAATCTTATGGAAATCATTTTTGGGCTGATCGATACCAATACGATGTGTCTAAATATAAATATATTATATAAACTTTTACCAAAAAAATTATATTATATATATTTAATGTAGTTAAAATACAATGCAGAAAAGAAATAGTTAATACTTGTAAAAGTATAAGAAATAGATATCTTGCATTTTACGTTGATTTGCTGATTTTCTAATTCAATTATGAATCATAAATTTGTAATGTGTAATTTAGTTTTTATTCTATTAATTTGCAACTAGTTTATTATTGTGTTGTATATATGCATACAATTATGTGTTTAATGTTTTATACCCGTACTCACGCATTTTCTATTACTCTTATTTTTCACACGTGTTTATCTATTTTAAATTAAATTATAAAAATATATATATATGTTACGCTAAGAGCCAAACCAACATTAAATATAGAACATACAAAACCCAAATTTGTCAACCTAAACCTAATGAAACTTTTATTCAATCTCATGCATTTGCTTGGATTTACTTGCTAGTTACTTTAACTCCACGAGGAATCTCTCTCATACTTGAGGGTGTCAATGGACCGGTTTTGGAGTGGACCCCATCCAGTCCAAAATGTGGATTGGACCAATCCAGTCTATAATATTTATTGGATTGGACTGGACCTAGTCCGTCTGTAATAAATTTATATTGAATTTGGTTGGATTAAGCCAATATCTGGTCCATTGATATAAAATAAGAAATTAAGTGTCATTGATCGGGTTTGGGCTGAAACCAATCTAAGTTAAAATGAATTTGAACAAATTGAACATTCCAAACATTAAATTAGACCGATTCAAAATGGTCCAAATTATTCAATAGATTGGATTGGACCTGATCCATTTATAAAGAACTCATGTTGGATTCGGATTGGATCAAATCCAGTCCAATCGACACCCCTACTCATACTTGTATTACCATTCATGAAAGATATTCTCAATTCTCTCAACATGTTAGCATGTTTTTTGGTAAGAGATTCCGGCTCAATCTGCCTTGTCAAAATTGAAACCAAACACAGGCTGTGATTAGGGTTTTTGTGTGAACACGGTTACTTGAGCACCAAATCCAAACTCCTTGCCAAGGGCCCACGGCCTACAAAATTGAATTGCCATTTGACTATGCCCAAGAACTGTAGACGATTCCGTCTCCTCTCAAATTTCCTAATTTCCCTAGTTTGACAAATGAAATAAGATTCTCTACGCAAATAATAGAATTTTGGAAATTTTTTTTTTATAGTGTCATTGCTACCGTGGGATTCACCACTTGCACTACGTACCAATGGAAGTTTTGACCATGAAACGGTTCACACTTTCTTCTGCCATCTTTTCAATAAAGTGAAATTTCTTTTTATATTTGAATGGACAGCGTGCTTCCAACCATAAACCTTCTTTTCCGTGAAATTAATTAAAAAGGATTGGACGAAGAATCTTCGTGCAGATGACGTAAGTAGCTTTACGAGAAAAGAAGATTCAGTGCAGAAATCTTCCACTAACGTTCGTCTCTCTTGAATTGTATTAAGATACCCCTATACTTTCATAGTTACAAAAACTTATCCTATAATTTTCGTTTTATTAAAACATCCCCTATAATTTGCAATATATTTACTTAATCAACTTTTCATGAGATGAAAATGGAAAATGATAGTTTTGATCCTAATGCTCATTCAAATAAATTTAATTAAAAGAAAATAAAATAAAAATTCCATTTTTTTTGCTCCTAATAAGACACAAGCAACCATTCTATTTGACTCTCTTTGGTCAATTTTATTTTCTACAAGAAGAAATGTTAGGGATGCTTTCTGAATAAACAACTATGGGCCTATGTCTTTGAACATTTTCCACTCAATTTAGGTGATCATGTTGTTATATTCAGATGGCAAAACAAACAATTAGAAGGTGGATTGAGTAATTACAAACTATAGGGATGCTTTAGTAAAAAACTATAGGATACATTTAAATAAATCCGTCATGTTTTAATAAATGGCCCTTAATTTTTTGGTACATGAGCGTCAAAACCATGGTGATTGGTGAATGGTGACTATGGCTCTTTTCAAATTGCTTACAATAAGCTAAAAAGCCCTGCCTGACTAATGTGGCACCAGAAATGGGTATCAAAGGAATGCCCTATGGGAGTTCAGATTGATGCCCCATAGAGCACGCCCCATGCACATCTCATTGAGTCACCGGGCATTAGGAATATATCCTGTACATAACTACATATTTGTTATGGGGAGATGTTTTCAATACACAGTTGGAATGTGTTATGGAAATTCATGTCATCACCCCACAAAGCATGTCCCATAAGGCCCCATAGCCCATCCCAACCATGTTTCTAATGTTTGCTTAGATGTGCATGTAGGGCGTGCTCTATGGGGCACGAGTCGAGATCTTCTGCCAACAAAACCTCTTCAAACCCTCTTTCAACTTGATCTAACACCGCACATCTCACCATGAAACTGAGACCCGCCATATATGAGATGTGCAGTGTGAGATTTTATTGGTAGAGGGTTGGAATGTGTTTTATTGGCAGGTGATACGGAGTCATCGGGCGTCAAATGCTGTGGGGTGCACGTGGGACGTGCTCTGTAGGGTGCCGATGCCTACAGCGGCACCAGAAACGCTTCCAGTCGAGGCACCAGAAATGCTTCCAGTCGAGTTACGACCACCATTAGCAGCTTGGAATCGCTGGTTGGTGGCGCATTTAACAAACTGAGAGAGATTCTCATCTAAGAATCTAGGCGAGACGAGAGACGAGGTCTCTAATGGGAGGGGATGCAAGATGTGAGAGTTGGGTTGGTTGCAGAATTAGTTGAATTAGAGGCTACCGAAGGCTGAGACCCGAGATAGTACTACTTTTCACTTTTTCACATGCTTATTGGTTGTACAGCATTTTGCACAATAATTGAAGCCGTGCATGGGACCTTCAGATGTACCGGCTAGAATGGCTTATTGGGTGCCAGATTCATAATTAATGCATCGGGATTTATTCTCACAGAGCGCACGTTACACTGACTTCACAGAATATCCCACCATGTATTGGACAATTGGGAGCGTCTTTCATGAATAACAACGCAACAAACATGAAGAATCGGAGATGATTTTGTTCTCGGCTAAGACTTCTTGTTAGCAATGGCAACGGGGCGGGGATTGCATTCCCCATCCGGCCATCCCCGACCCCGACCCCCAAATCACCCCCCATCCCCTTCTCGAGAAGAGAGATTGAGAGACCGAGATTGAGAGAGAGAGGATCATTGCAAGTTGAGACCGACGAAGAGAGAGAGAGAGAGAGATTTGGCGGGCGATGGCAACGATAGACTGATAGTTTGAGAGACTGGGACTGAGTTTCAGTTCTTTCTTCTGAGTATCTCTGTCCTTTGTTGAGACTTGAGTGGTAGACCAGTAGTCGGCGATGATAGACGTCCAATGTCCGATAGGCGAGTGACAACAACGACAACAGTCGGCGAATCAACGACGAAGACTAAGGAAGAAGAAGACTGACTAGGGTTCACGGTTCAAAGTTCTTTGTCTGTGTTTGTCAAAGACTCTAACCTCTAAGTGTTGAATGTTTTTGTTTTTTAAGTTTTAATCTTTAAAATAATTAAATAAATGAATAATAATATAATATATAATATTATATTATATATAATTATATATTTATTAATTGGGGATGGGTCGGGGCGGGGATTGCATTCTCCATCCCCGTCCCCGAACTAGATCAGGGATTCAGGGATAGCCCCATCCCCAACCTCGACCCCACCAAAGTACCCCCATACCCGACCCCGTTGGGTCAGGGAGCCTAGGTACCTGTTGGGGACGAGAAAATTGCCACCCCTACTTGTTGTGAGAATCACTTCGTATGGAGCATACTTGGACTCTAGGGGTGCAAATGGATTGGACCATGAGAATCGTTGTGTTTATAAATATATTTTTATAATTTTTTATTTTTATGAAAAACATGTGTATATATATATATATATATATATATATATATATATGATGAAAATAGTTAAAAAATACTTATATTTTTTGTTTTCTTTATATAAATTATTATTTTTAATAATTTATTAAATTTTTAGAGATTATATCAGATTTAGATGTCTGATAACCTTAATATAAATTCGGATTGTAACCGATATTTGCGAGAACCAATCAAATCTACTATTTGTATTATCAGAAAGACATGATATTTGAAAAACTTGTGACTAGTCAACTATTATCATAAACATATTAACTATTGAGGTAGTATTTATCAAAATTAATGGATATATTTTAATTTTTTTTTGGTAATAGGGTAGATTTTAATTGGCCAAAGTTATTTTGGCACCATGTCTTTCAGATATCATAAATTTTCACTTTAATAAAACTAGCTAGTTGGCAGGGGTGGAGACAGAGGGGACCAAGGGGAGC